TAATTTCATTAAATAGATTGAGAGTAAATTCATTTAATTAAATTTTAAATGTAACTCAGTAACACTTTGTGACATGCGTAGAAGGATATTTTACATTGGGCAGCATTTGTAATAGGGTTAAGGTGTTCCTCCATTCTACCACGTCCCTAGAAAGATTGACATCACTGGCAATGCTACTGTCTTAGCCAAAATATTTGCACATTTTGTAACAAACAATATCATTATTATTAAGATGGAATACAAATACACTTAGCACTTTCAAACTAACAAATGCATGTTACATCAGATATCTACATATGCAACTTCTATAATGAAGCAGGTTTTATTGTTTGTTTGTTTGAATTTATGCACAAAGCTACACAATGGACTATTTGTGCTCTGCCCACCACGGGTATCAAAATCCGGTTTCTTGCAATATAAGTCCACAGACATACTGCTGTGCCACTGGGAGGCGAAGCAGGTTCTATGAACATCATGAACAATTTATTAGAACAACAAACAATTTTATCAGACACTTGTAAAAAAATGTGTAATTTAGCATTTCACCTATCACAACAAAACCTTATCAAATCATATATAATGATAAAATCTAACATCAAATTATTATAAGTAGCATCTGTAACATTATATCAGTTCATATTAAACACTCAGTACCTCAGTACTTAGTTGTTCCTCCTCATACTGTAATAACCTCAGCAAGGTGACGTGGCATGCTGTTGATGAAGTTATTGATGTAATCCACCATGATTACATCCCAACCTGTCACTATAAGGCACTGCAACTCAGCTACATCAGCTGGTTTATGGTTGTGGTTAACAATGTTCTGGCTCAGTTTGCCCAACAGTTTTCAATAGGATTACAATCTGGAGCCTTTTCTGGTCATGGCAATCTTGTAACATCCTCCTGGTTGAGATAATCCTGTACAATATGCACACTGTGGGTAGTGGTATTGTCATTTTGGAACACAAAGTTATCGTGCAATCTTGCCCTAGCATATAACAGAAATATTGCCTCCATGTGATTCCTGTAGGAGTCGTTATGACGTTTACATGGAGGATATGAAAAGCACGATGAATAGCTGCTGAAAAATACATTGCACCACTTCCTGTGGGAAAGACAGTCTTCCTTCATCTGTTCTCCAGGCAAACGACAAACGCGAATTCTACTATCAGCTATAACAAGCCAGAAACAGGACTCATCTGGAAAGATGACATGCCATCAGTATACTAACTATAAGTTGACAGGCATGCTATCTTGCCCATGTAACATGATGATGGTGGTGAATTCTGGTTAATATCAGTTTGCAGATGGGCTTTCTTGCAAAATAACCTTGTTTGAGGAGTCCAGTATTCACTGTTTTTCTGGATATCCTGGAATGAATGTGTTAATGCCATTCATATCGTAAGGTGTTGCAAGACTTCTTTAACCTTAACGTGTTAACCTGATCAAAATAAGTTATCTCAGGCAGTAGTTTCTCGGCGTCTACCAATAAACTTTCCTGGAAATGTAAACCTCTGTTTAAAACATCTAGCTGTTTATTATTTACTATTGACTTCGATTTATTTAAGACTTTAGGCTTATTTAAAAAGATATTATGCTTTTCTGGTAATGGATCTAGTTTATAATCTTCATCATTCACTTATTTTTTCTGAGCAAATAGAGTTTTTAGTTTTTGCCCAACGTAATTTTACATTAGTTGTCATTGACTTCTTTTCCCACTCCGTCCATTCTTCCTTCATTCCTTTAGATATAGCTAAGTGCAATAAATATACTCTTTTTTTCTTCTCTGCTATGAAACTTCTTTTTGTCAAATCACAATATTCAATATCTTCTCTTTAGTTTTTCTGAAGTTGATATTCCACTTTATTCTTTCTGATTTTGCAATCCAATCTTATGAACTTTGCTAGTTGTTGAAGGCATTTTTTAATAAAGGGAGGCAAACAGTAATTAATAATAAAAAAAAATTATGATTCTAAAGTTGAAGAAATGTTGAAACAAGGTCAGTATAAGAACATAAAAGTTAATCCTATAAATATACTTCATGCAATGGTTAAAACAAAAATTAAGAACTATATAACTTTAACACCTTATGAAAAACAAAGTTAAATTCCAAGTAATTTTTTCGATACCCGTGGTGGGCAGAGTACAGACAACCCATTATGTAGCTTTGTGCTTAATTACAAACAAACAAACAAATCAAATAATTTTATTTTACTATATGCCTTGCCTAAAGTTCATAAGATTGGGAACAATTTTAGACCTATTGTATATAATATTAAGAATTCAGTTTAAAATGTAGCAAACTTTATATCTAAAAAAATTCTCATTTTTAAGGGATAAAAATATATACACAGTTAAGAATTCGTTTGAATTTGTGGAAAGAATTGAGCATATCATTTTAGATCAGAAAGATGTTTTGGTGTCTTTTGATGCTGCGTCAATGTTCACCAAAGTACCTGTGAAAAAAAGCTATTGCATGTCTTGAGAAAATAAGAATTCGGTCTTAGAAATAACGGATATGATTAACCTGGTAGAAGTATGTATTGAAAACTATTTTTTTTTAAAGTAATAGTAAAGTTTATTAACAAAACGAAGGTTTAGCTATGGGTTCTCCTTTATCTCCGTTATTATGTTATTTATGTATGGACAATTTTGAAACTGAAGCGTTAGAAAAGGCTGATAAAAACCCGAAGTTTGGTTAAGGTATGTTGATGACATTTTTTATTTGGCTCTTTTTCTAATTACCTTAATAGCATTGACAATTCTATCAGATTTACTTATGAAGTTGAGACAAATAGATGTTTACCTTTTTTTCGATGTTTTAGTGAGTGAAAATAAGGATAAGTTGGAAACTACTATTTATCGAAAACTTTTCTCTGTAATCGTTCCGCCAAATCAAAATTCTTGTCACACTAAATCTCAAAAAACTATTGTTTTTTTACTCTTATATGGATAGGATAGTAAAATTATATTATAAACAGGATGATATTAATAATGAGTTGGTATTAATTAAGTACACAGCAGAAGAAAGAGGTTTTAATCCTGATATTGTTGACAGAACTGTCAAAAAAATAATAACAGGAATATAAATATTAAGTTAAAATCAGTTGCTGAAAAAAGCAAAAAAGAATGTTTATACTGTTATTTATTCCTGGCTTTTCCTGTCAAATAAAGAAACAATTTAGAAAAAGAACAAATATTTTTCCGATATTTAAACCGCTAAACAAAGGTAGCCAAATTCTTAATATAACTAAATATAGAATTCATTTAATCAAATAATTTGGTATATATAAAATATAATGTGAATGTGAAAAAGTTTATATAAGACAAACTAGAAGATATTTAAAATTCAGAGTGAATGAAAACAAAAGAAATGTTAAAAACAATAACATTACTATTTCACCTTTAGCAGAACGTATTAATGAAACTATACACATAATTCAATAGGAAAAAAACTTATTTTAGCACAACCTGAAAATTTTATTAGTATGAATATACGTGAATCTATTGAGATAATTAAATATATATAAAAGTGAATTTAAAATATGAGATAAGAATGATGGACCTGATGGAAATGTTGTCAGCAAATGGCATGAAATTCTTTAATATTTAAATTGATGATTTTATAATGATACAAATTAGTATTATTTTTACAACACATTCCACTCCTCAGGATAACACAATAAATAGGTCGAAACATATTGAGTGTATGAGGTACAGTCTCATCGGGTACTTTTTTTTATCCTGTACAGTAAGTTATTTGTATTTTATTGTAATTTTAAAACTGGATATAGTCTCATTTTTAGAATTGTATAAAAATAATAGTTGTTTTATAAAATGTGAATTTTTTTAACAAAATTAAATTTGATGTTGTAAGGTTAGAAAAAACGTCCTTTACACTCTAGTCTTTAGAGTCTAGATAATTATATGCCCCCCAGTGGCACAGCGATATGTCTGCGGACTTACAACGCTAGAAACCGGGTTTCGATACCCGTGGTGGGCAGAGCACAGATAGCCCTTTGTGTAGCTTTGTGCTTAATAACAAACAACAACAACTAGATAATTATAAAATAATTGTTTTTATTTTCACCAATGTTTCGCCTTTGTGGCTTCTTCACTGTAGTACATAAAACTGTTTGATATTAGAATATTTCTTAAATTATAAAACTTATAATGTTCTATTTCTCGAGTCTGCCGTGACGTGCCTCAAACATTACAAGTTTTGGTTTGTCTTTCTAAATTGGGAGTGCATACTGGAGGTATTTACACATTCTGATAAAAAGAGTAGGGGGGAAAACGACCTTAATACTCCAGATAATTATAAAAGAACTTTTATTTTAACCAAGTCTTTGTGGCTTCATCAGGGTTAGCACATACAACTGTATACCCTTGTATACAGCCTTGATGAAGCCTTTAATCAGCTTTTCGGTTGGTTATTTTAGAGCAAAGCCACATTGGACTATCTGCTGTGTCAACCGCGGGCAATCGAACCTCTATTTTACTTTTAGCGTTGTAAATCCATAGACTTACTGCTATCCCATCGGAGGACAGATCATTATAAGCAGTATTGTAATCTAACGAATATTGTATTATCAAACAATTTCATATACTAGCCCTGAAGAAGCCACAAAGGCGAAACATCGTTTCAAATAAATGTTCTCTTATAATTATATGGAATGTAAGCAGTAAAGGTAGTTTTTTCAAACTTTATTATCAGAATACGTAAATCCCTCCAGTATGAACTACAAATTTTGGTGTTATAAGGTCAATTATTTCAAGATTTATTACATAACTGCTACACGTTCCGGACATGATACAATTACGAACATGAGTGCCTATATTCCAAGAAAACGCAATTATCAGTCGTTTAACCAATGAGAAAAGCCTAAACTTTGAAATGTAGGAGCTTCTTGTAAGGCAGTTAAATCACGTGACCCCTGACGAATGGTAAGAAACAACCAATCATTCGTCAAAGAATTATGCTGACGTCAAGCCTTTGGAACTGGAAATCGGGTGCCACGACAGTATTTGTTATGATCGCTGGTTTTTTATACTGATTTTTTTAAAGAAAATGGCACCAACAATTGGAGTAAATTTACGAGTTACTGGCCATTGTAATCAGGGTGGGAGAAAGTATATGGAAGATGCATTTGTTGTGGCGTATCAACAAACTGAGGATGAAAAGGACCTCGAGTATGGTTATTTCGGAATCTTTGATGGACACGGAGGGCGCGAAGCTGCTCTTTATGCTAAAGAACATCTTATGAATCATATCGTAAATCAAAAGAACTTTTGGTCAGATAACGATGAATTAGTGTTGAAAGCAATCAAAGACGGGTTTCTTACCACACATTTTGATATGTGGAAGGAAGTTGGTAAGTGTTTACGAAAGTAGTTTCCTAAGCCTACTCATTGTTTCGACTTCTTTAGGTGTAGGTAATACTTACTTCTAGCCGTTGCTTTGGGAACGACGGAATCTAATTTTTTTTAAATCCCATCACGCAATGCGTGTCTTATTTTGTTTTGTTTTTTCGTCTTGATGTATAATTTTTTCAAACCACGTATTTCAACATTGTATTACGTTTTCTCTTATTGTAATTGATATGTTTTTAAACATTAAAAATCTTTATTACATAAAACATTATTATTTAAACATTTACGTTAGGCGTACTCTTTTTTTTTTTATTGCCTTATTTTACTAAATCAATGATACTGATAATTAAAAGTTTTATTTAGTTCTCAGTTTTGATCTTCCAACTTCCAGGACAAGTTATACTATCAGTATTTCCCTAATAACATAAGCTCTGTGACAAACAATTATTTAAGTTTTAAACATTTCTAATACCAAACTCACCATAAATATAATTATAAATATTAAAGTTCTAGGATCTATTATCACTCTTGGTAAATTAGGATACCAGTAAATAGATATTACTTTAAATGGTATGAGTGAAGTTGTTTAATGAATTCTGAGGGATAATGGTAAGTTATCATAGCAATATTTAACAGTTTCAGGAAGGTCTCTCTTGTTATTGCATAAAAGTCATCAATTGAGATTTTTTTATGTCCAAGTTCTTCAGAGTTGTAGATACGATGATAAATCATAAACTTGAAGCAGTAAAGGTACTGGGTCCGTTTTGGTGGGTAGGAATTGAAATTGGATCATGATTTAAATGTTATTGAGGCTACTCTTTGAGATAAGCCTCAAGGGTTTTAATTTGACTATGTCACTCAAATGTCATTTGAAATGAATTGAGTGCTTCTACCTTTAATTTAAAGAAAATCAAATAAGATTCCTGATCTCAGATCCTTAAAAACTTTGCAAAAATTATAAATAACTTGTTTGAAAGATGAGGAACTTGGTAAAAGACCTTTTGTTCTAATTCTAGTTATTGCTATAATCTGTTTGTATAAATTACAAGTTTTAGAGGATTTTTCTTTTCTTAAGAATGTGGTTGTATGTTGTTTGGAAGTACTGTATCAGTTTTAATCTCATCACAGACAGGGAACTGATCAACCAGAAAAGGCTTAAGTATTTGCACCTGTTTTTGTATACACAGAAAAATACTGATGAATGAATTTGAATGTTCAAAATTTGTTAGTGATTTGGATAAGTCTTTTTTAAGAAGTATTTCTGATTTCTGGAACCAGTAAGGTTAGTAATAGTAAATTAGAAATTATAATTATTACTTTAAACTTTAAAACCCTTAATCAGATTTGTGCATATGCAGTATTATTTTATTATTAGTATAGTAAGAAGGTTATTTAGTTTGATTGTGTTTTATGTAGTTTGTTTCAATTTGTTGGATAGGTACAAAGATCTAAGAATGTTTTAGTTATGTTGGCATTTGATTTGAATTGGTTTGATATCAGAGATAGTCTTTATAAACTAAGTGACCTTAGGACAGTCACTTTTTGTTTTTCTGTCATCCCATTCTCTCTTTTAAACTTGTGGTTTCAGTAGGCTAAATTAATCTGTACATAAAAATGCTATAGCGCTTACCATTAATTGTGTATAATAATATATATTTCTTCTGTTGCTTTTGATTACTGTAGTATATCTATTAATAAAGAAACCTTTAGATATGTTCAGTGCATCATCAATGAGATATAAACTTTTCTTACTGTCTTGATAATAGAGTTAGCACAAAGGATCACATATAAAGTGTAATACACTCTTCTTACTGGATACTTGATGAACACTAAAAATTTCAGCAAAAATTAACAACCATCTTTACATCAAAATTAGTAGTTTCAGAATCAATCTAATGATTTCAATTTAGTTTGTGTTACAGAATCTAAAGCATTTAGAATTGTGCTTATATAATGAGAGAAAGAGAATATTTTAGTCAAGCCTTTTTTTTTTTGCAACCACCTTCACACAAAGGAAAGCTTTATTATAGTCATCTATTGCCTTCGATATTGTTTCCTATGGAAATTTCACCAAAATAGTTTTTAAGACCAACATCTTCAGGTTTCAGACATTTTCATTTCTGGACATAAGAAAATTTGAGGTAATGAATTTAGAATGTAACCGCATTGTATGTTTATAGTTCTTGAAACCTGTATGATACCATCACATGTGGATTAGACTTAGAAAAAATGATAAGAATCATACATTTGTGAAAAAATCTTGCAGTTTATTAATTTCAATAGGGTCAGTTGTTTTATTATTAACTATATAACTGCATATCCCAAGTATAGTTTATCTGAGCATGGTGAGGACTCCTAACATGTTTATACGAACATAAATAGTTGCTAGTTAAATGACTCTCACTCGGTCATTTAGGTAAGTGTATCTAATATATGCCACCATTCACCAAAAATTAGTATACTGAAGAGAAATAAAATGATGTTTAAATTCAACTGACACAATTTGATAATGTACAAATTTTTTGTATCAACAATGATTAAGTTAATTTTTAGTACAAGGATGAATGATAAAATTTGACAAATGTTAAGTAGACCATGAGATGTTCAAACATTACCATTACAGATTGCAATGGAAAAAATGTGTAAATATTACATATAAAATTTTATTTCAGGTATTCACTAATGAGACAAATTTTGCACTTTTGTTTATGGCGATTTGACGGTGGCTAAGATATACAGTAATGTATTTATTGTATTTAAATAAATTCGTTATGAGATAAGATAACAGAATGATGCCCAGTTTTAAAAACAGTAAGCTATGAAAAAAAAAACTTAAATAATGAATGTGGTTAGATGTTATTTGGCACTTCAGTGTTAGTTTTAATCTCATTACAATGGTGTTTATTCATGTAAATTTTTAACTGTATTGTTAGAAATATTAATGCAAAACCATCATTTTGCACAACATTTTATATTATGCTGTATGTAAAATATTAACTTTTTGAATTACAACTGATGTAAATAATCTTCATTATTTTTAAGTACTTTAAAAGTAATTGGTCTGTTAGTAATTTACAGAAATAGTGGATGGTCGGTTTGCTCCAGAATACAAAATGGTGTGTCCTTTGATTAAAGTTGAATTAAAATATTACTTTTTACATTTCACTAACAAATTAGTGTGTGTATGTGTGTATATATTTGCCTAAATATTCAAAGTTGTCGTTATTTGGAAGAAGAAAAATATATAAAAATCCAAGTAATACTATTTTATTTTATGAGTTAAGTTGCATATAGAAGCTTGATGTATTATTAATTTTTTTATTTATTTTTTACTTATTAGTTATTAAAATAACAAGTTTGTTTGCCCTTTCAATATAATATAACAAGTTTATTTGCATTGGTATCAGGCAGGCAGTAGCACTGCCTATGTATGTATGCTTGGATTGTTCATGGATATGGTATTTTAAATATCTCCTCAATAGGTCATCAAAACTTAACAATACTATACAGTGTTTCCTTTATAACAATATCCGTGTAATGACTGAGTCACAAGTTCTGGGAAATATTGTAAATGTCATAGCAAAAAGGTTCAATTTCTTGTTCTTCTTTCTTCTGGTTCTTTTTTATGACAACTCAAAAACCAAAACAGTGGTGTCAACCAATTTCACTAGTGTGACATAGTTTCAAATGGAATATCTACTTCTATAAGTATTATTAATTAATAGTGATTTAAAAAAATATATAATTCTAGTGTAATCAATATTATCATTACTCCTTGAAGTTAGCTTTCTTACAGAAATTTGTTGTACCTTCAAAAAGCTTAAACACAGGGTGAAACAGGAATTACTAGCCAATAATAGATAATCAATAAATATTGCAGTTGGAACCTCATTGTATTTAGAACTTGGTTGTAAATACAACCTTCCTATCACTGCATAAAAAAATATGGTGAAGAAAAAAAGCTTTTGAAGAAAGGAAGTAAATGTCCAGATGGCTAATATCAGTCCTTCAAAAACAAGATAGTAGGGATGATATTTGCATAATCCCTATATAATAGCACAGGAAAGAATTAACATACAGCAATATATATATATATATATATATAACTGTTCAGTTTAGTTTAATTTATCCTACTTTTGTCTTTTAACATTCTATTACATTGTGTGCTTATGCTATTACGTAGAGATGATCCAAATGCCATCCTTACTATCTTGTTTGCATTGTTTTGGAAAGATTAATATTATCCATCCCTACATTTATTTCCTTTTTTGAAAAATTTTTTCTTTACTTGTATAAGAAATATCTCCCCTGATCTCATAATTAGTATAACTGTAGGTCTATATAACATAAAATTCAAGAACAATAAAGGACTGTCCCATCCACTAAATTAAATTGTAAGATAAGAATAAAAAAAATCAGTGCCAACCCTAATTATTAAAATATTTATCAAGCCTTCTCTAAAATTTACTGTATCCACCACTGAAAGAAACCCACCCTGTTAGAAAAAATAATTTGTCTTGAGAAAAGAAATATAAGTGGTGATCTTGTTAAGTTTATAAAGTTGTGTTAGAGACTGGTAGAATGAAGCTCTTTGTGTACATTCTGAAGACAAGGAACATCAGAACCCAACTTTAAGATTTTCAAATAACAAATATAGTTAAAACTGCATTGGTGACAAAAATAAAATTAACTAATAGGTTCAACAATCTCCAAGTTTTTTTATATATTTTTATTTACAGAAAGATGACGTTTGGAGCTGCCGCTCTTCGTCAGATTGAACAGTTTATAAGAATACACCTATCATATATCACTTGTGGTAACATACCACCAGACCAAGAAGAAGATCAAAGATATTAAGCTAAACAATTACACATGACTTACTGAAGGCCCTACCACTAAATCTCTTTTCAAGGACCCACCCATTATTTCTTACAGACATGACAAAAACCTGAAAGAAATCCTGGTGCACAGTAACCTTAAAAACAGAATGATACTCTAGACACTCATACATGTAAATGATATAGGTGTGTCACCTGCCTACATATAAACAGCACGACACATATATGAGAAAAGAACACAACTTTCCACATTAGACAGTTCTTTACATGTACCACTGAATGTATCATTTACTGTATAATTTGCAAAAGATGCAATAGTTTATACACCTATAGGCATACATTTCATCATCAACAACCATACAATTGAGGACTTTTCAATTCTTGGACTTATTAGTGCTCCAACAGACATTCACAAGAGAGAATGACTGGAAAGGAGATTAATCTACAATCTGGGGACCCTACAACCATCTGGTTTAAATTAATGCTTTTCTTTCCTGTAGATTTCTATTTTCCAATTTTTTTTTCAATTGCTATCTGTTTTATCTTTTCATAGTTTGTAATTTTTATCTAATAAACGTAATTTTGTTTAGAATTTTTACACTCAACATTCAAAATACTACTCACACAAATTCTTTGAATTCTGTACATGCACATTTGTTGTAAACTGTACGACCTGATGAAGAGCGCTAGCTTGAAACATCATCCTTCTTTAAATAAAAATATAAAAAACTTGGTGGTTGTTCAACCTATTATTTAAGTTTGATTATTAACTTATAGAGTGAGTTACCATTACCAGTAATGAAGGAGCTCAAGAGGGAATCAATGAACCTCTGAAAAATAAAGGTTGAATTTAAAATGTTTACTTTTCTTTTCTTCAGGTGTGAGTGTGCAATGACAGCCTTGAAAATACCAGATGGTGCATTGTTTTCTAGAGGCAATTAGTGGTATTTCCTTACTGATTATATGACAGACCCATTAATCTATTAGTACAGTCTTCCTCAAATCATCATACATGTTCCCCTTTACAAGCAAAGACAAAAATGGCAACCCAAGAGTTGATGGTTTAATTGCTGCTCATGGGTTATTAAATTACCTAGCTATGTTGCTGTATGTATGTTGTATTATTAGTCAACATTGCAAATTAACGGTAATAAACTATAGCTTCATGTTAGTTATGTAAAATTTGTTTCCTTAAGATAAATGGCCAAGAACATTTTCTGGACTGCCGAGTACTTCAGGGACAACTGCAAGTGTAGCCTTCATCAGACATGGAAAAATGTACGTTGGTCATGTAGGCGACTCAAAAATTGTTCTGGGATGCCAAAACAAAGGTAATTTTTGTTTAAAATGGTTTCACAGAGAAAAAAGTTAGTCACAAGATAAATTCTTATTGTATGGAAATACAATAGATGTTTATGATAAGCCCATGAGTCTTGAGTTTATTAAAGTCAAATTTTAGGTCACAAAAGTTTTGCTTTAGTCTGAAGAAAATAAAAATTTTTGTTAGTAAGTTTCTCATGTTTTACTTAAAGCCTAAGTTTTTGATAAGTTTCTTTAAATATTTTGTTGAAATAAATGTTAATCATGTATTTCTTTTTTAAAGTTAATTAATTTTGTACATATTTAATATTCTTTTGGCATAGACAAGAGTTCATGATTGTATACTTACTCATGATTGTTTAGACTCAGATGCTTGGGTTGCTCAGCCTCTTACTAAAGATCACAAGCCAGAATCCCCTTCAGAAAGGGAGCGTATCCACAGCGTGGGAGGTTCTGTGATGAATAAAGCAGGTGTAGACAGGGTCGTGTGGAAGAGACCTCGTATTGGTCACAAAGGACCAGTTCGACGAAGCACACATTTTGATCGTATTCCTTTCCTGGCTGTTGCCAGGTCACTTGGTACAATGTTTGGATATGTTTTTTGTTCTATTTTTTTCTGTATGTCATATGCTAATAGTGGCTGTGTTTTAATGTATTAGTATGTATGGATCAAATATTGAACAAGATTAACAGGTTGTTATCATTGTGGACAAGATTTATATTGTAGAGTATGTGGCTTTTAGGATTTAGGTAGCCATATACAGTACATATGATTATAAGCTGGTCTTATCCTATGTATTGCTAAAGGTAAGTCCACAAGTTATTGCTTGTGTCTTTAACTTGTAACAACCAAAAACACTTCTGTTTTTCATTAAGATTGTTGCTTTAGCTAAGGTTTTCTTTTGTAAACTCAGTATGATGAGAATTATCAAAATAATTTCTAGCAGTGTGAAAGAAACAACTTAAATATTTGTACTTATGATATTGTAATATTATTGAGATGTTAACTCAATTGTTTTGTAGTGACTTCATACTTAGATTTATTAATTTCCTTGTTATAGCTGTACAAGTAAAATAATTGTTTTCTTTTTCAGGTGATTTATGGAGCTACAATTACTTCCAAGGAGAATTTGTGGTAAGTCCAGAACCGGATGTAGCCATGGTTACCCTGGACCCAAAGCGAGATCGTTGTATAGTTCTAGCATCAGATGGGTTGTGGAATATGATGACTCCTCAGGATGCTGTGAGAATTGTTCAAGAAGCTGAACATGAAAATGAGCAGCTTATTCTAGAAGCTGGGCAAACATTTTTAATGGTTAGTGAAATGGCAAAATGTGTGTATAAGTCATTGCTACACACATCTTTTTGAGTGGTTGGGTTGAAATATCACTCTTTTAATCTTGTATTACATATTACTAGCATCAGAAACTGTTAGCAGAGTAGGTTGATTTTTTTATTTCAGAAATGGTGACTTCTTTTTATAAAGTAATTGGCATCATAAATTATATAGTGACAATTTGAGTGTAGATTGAGTTTTATTGAAAGTTTTCATGTTTGCTAGGTTTCTTTTGTCTTCTCCAAGTCAAAATGTTTCTTTCCATCATTTTTATGAAAGCCCTTTGGTGTCCACAATCGCTGTCAGAAAATTACTTTATCCCAGTAATTTGCTGGACAAAACTAAGTTCATTACAGATATGATTAGTCAAAAATGAAACTGTACTATATCTAACTATAGTGTCAGCTTTAAGTCTTTCAGCATGGATGGATGTGATTACCATCAGTTCAACTAAGGAAGGACATTTACACAACAAAAATACACTAACTCTGTGTGTTCGTCACAAAAACTGATAAGATTTTGTTAATGTTTATAAGTATCTTGTGCGCAAAGAATGACATTATTTTAATTACATTTTTGTAATAAAAACGTTATTTATCTATAGTAATTATTTGCACTCAAACTGTGAATAGTTCGAGTGCAAGATGATTTTCATTTTAAGTATTTAAATATTTTTCTTTATCTTGTAGTTTTCATATTTCATTTACATAACCTCTACAACCTCCTAAATGAATATCAAGATTTTTTTAAGATAAATGTTATAAGTTGTTTTCATTTTTTCTACCATGTCACTAACTCTAGCTATTATCTTCAATATACAATGCAATGAAATGATTAACTCTCTTGACACAGACTCATTCGAATTGACCAACCATGTGATCACTTTGTATTCATTTAAAGTCACTATAGTTTTGACACTACTAACTTTTAATATAATATTTAGTTTAATATAATAACAAATTTGGCAGACTTTCTATAAACATTACAAATCTTTTACATACAAAAAATCTGATTTTTTAGTGAAGTATTTTTAACCCCCTCTGCCCAGGGCATCATTTACTGCACATGTCACGAGGTTTTAGTGGCTTACATTAAACAAAATTTTAAACTAATTTTTGTTTATGTTATACCAATTAGTATGGAATAAAATCACAGCTAATAATCCATATCTTATTAGTATATAAGTTTTAAATTCTTAATTTTATAAAGCAATATCTAAATAAATTCTGAATTTCCTCTAGTGTGAGAAAAGGGACACATTTTCTATAGGCATCCAATCTTCTCTATTTATTCACCACCCCTTCAATAAGTACAAAATTTAAAGTACATTACTCTCGGAAAAACCATAATTTTTATATATTTTAATCTTGTTTGGTTACAGAGCCATCAAATAGAAAATCAGACCCCTCTTGTCACATCCTCTCTTTCAGGATTTATTAATAGTTCTCTCTTATGTTTAATTCTGTATTATCTATAACCAATAGAACGCCAATGTTTTCATCCATCAAATGACGTATTATATTACTCTGTGTTCTGAACAGAGTATTATCAATTTCTCTTTTAGTACAAGCTTTATTCCCATGGGAAAGATAATGACTAGCTTGGTTGAAATTGTAACGGCATAGTTAGAAAGCCAGAAAAATTGTGATTGTTAGAGGAAATTGCCTGCTTTTTGTATGTTATTATTTTATGTTCTTTGGTGCATTATTTAATTAAAAAAAATTATTTAGTGCATTACTGCCATTAGTATAAAAAAAAAGTAGGGTTAAGTGTCATCGACAGTTGACAGCAAAAAAAAAGAAGACAATTTGATGATGATATTATGGTTTTGAGTGTTTCTGACAATGAAGATGCTGTTGCTACTATACAAAAAGATTTGGTGATTTGGGAAAAATTAATAGCATATGGCTGTTAATTACAGTAAATGCTAGATAATTTATGTGAGTTATCCTAATTTGAATTATAAGTATAATTTGATGGGAATAACATTAACTATGTTAAGGAAAAAAATAATTTTGGTTGTTTGGTTGATCAGTCTTTTAAACCTTTCACTACAGGAATCCCTTTAGACCCCTTTCTGTGAAAGTCACCGAGTTACATTCAAAATTTAATTAAACAACTTTACTATCAAGGTATGCAAGAAAATTTTATCCAAGTTTTCATTCCTTGATTTCAAAAGAAACCTTTAAAAAAATACCTGATCACCAGTTTTCTTGTCATATGACCCTGAGTTATGAAAAATCTCACATTTTGCAGCCTCTGCATTTAATGGAGTAAACAACAGTCTGTACATTTATATCTTTACATTAAGTATGTTTACTTGCCCTATTGACACTACTAATTCAAAGTATTATGGTTAGATCCATTAAGCAATAATAAATTTTGTCAACTCCTGATGGGTGCCACACTCACCATCCATACTTTGCTTTGAGGTGTACAAACCACATGTATATAATAATTAGAATAGCCTCATTTTACACTGTAATCCAACAGTGGTTATTTTGAAATTCACACCAAGTTGTCATACAGTAGATGTAACTGCTTGTAGTATTGTCGGCTGCTTTGGTCATGATAGCACTTCAGTTGTTTCTTACCTAAATATGTTATAGTTAGAGAGACAATTAAATTATATTTAGGTTTTGCTTTTATATTTTAGTTAATTGTGCATTATTTGTGTTTTAAAATTTATATTTGCAAGGTTTAATGATTTTTATGAAATAGCTAAAGCTTTTCCTCACTCCTAATTTGTTATATTACCATAAGAGTAGAAAATTCTTGCCCAAGGCTAAATAAAGTATGTCTGCTGATCATATTCTCTATCACTCACTGGCAGTCATTGATGTATAAATAATACAAATAAATAAATAATCAACAGTGAAGAATAGGAAAGGAAAATAAGTGTAAAGATAAAGATGTAAAATTCCAATACAGTCTTACCCCTCTCACACAAACCTATCTCGATCTTCTTTCTCCCCTCTAAGGTAGAGAAGTTCATTTTTACCCATTCTCAGTACCTTGTTCATTTGGGAGTTTTCTTCAATTCCCACCTTAGTCAGGCCCAACTTTCATCTCTTCATCTTTGGGATATTGAGCACATAGTCCACAAGGCACTTACTCCATATTCTATCCCAGTTTGAGAGGTTCTCTCTCTCTTGGAAATGTGGGCTTACTTGGAAGCTCTCATTCCCATGGGTCAAGCTCACATGTGTTCTATTCAGTGGACACTCCTCAATCTCCAGACATTGCCCCACTTCCTCCTGAATGTGCTGTGCCTTCCCATACCCTTCCTGAGGTTCCGTTCGGCCTTCCACATTTTTTTTTGGTCTATATCTATTGTGTATATGATGTTTTATCCCTTGCTCCTATATCTTATGACCCTCATCCTGCATTCCAACCCTATTTGGTTTTTCCCCCATCCCCCAACAATCGGGTTCATGCTGAACACTTCACTTCTCAGTTGGATGATGACGTTAGTATGCCTCATCCCCAAAGGCTTCAGATCAATCTGCCCTGGTATATCATAGGGCTAACTGTCCATGTCTCGACCAAAAGCTGTTGGGTTCAGTTTTACCCATTTGGGGTGTGGGGTCCGAATTTCCTGTTACTCTCACCCATGCCCAATTTTCCTACCTCCATCTTACCCTCACAACTCTTTTGCATTACCTTTCCACAATCCATCTCTTGTCTGAAACTCTTACAGAAATTCTGAGGAATTTTCTGAGGACATCCTCTACCTCCTTCTCTCCACAATGGCTTGTTTGTCATCTTTGGCTCTGGCTTTACAAACGTGGTTTATCTGCTGTTGGGGTCTTTTAGGTTGTGATGCTGTTTTATCTAGAACCCATTTACTTGCTCCTTATATCCAGGATTTGTATATGGCTCCATTTTTAAGACATTTTATCTCTGATATGGTCCCTGAGTCCTTGGTGTCTCGGGTGGCATCTGTCCAGCAACAATCTAACCTTTCTCATCTGGTAGCCCATTTATCTCAGTCAAAGCAAAATGTGGCACCAGTTCTGGTCTCCTGTCCTTCCCCTTCCCAACCCTTACCTGTCCCTCCTTCTCGCTTGGCCATAGCTCGTTCTTTTTCTCGATGATGCACAATATCCTGCCAACAGTTCCGGTGACTACCTGATAGGTTCGGGCCCAGTAGGAGCTTCACATGTAGCCTTCGCTTATTGGGCCTTCAGTTGGGCCCAACCTTCTCATCTATGCACACATGCACTCCCTTCTGTGAGCTTTGCACAATCAATGGAACCTTACTCAGGATCCCTTCTATCCACCCCTACCACTTCCTCCTTCCCTTGTAGATGCTCTCCTTTGATGGTTGGACAAGACTCGCACATCAGCAGGTGTTCTACTTCTTCCTCCTTGTCTGGATTTACATCTATTAACAGATGCATCCCTTCAGGGCTGGGGTGCATGGGTTGATCACCATGAGGCTTCTGGTCATTGGTCTGTTGATGAAAGGTCTTTACATATCAAAATCCTGGAGCTCCTAGCCATTCGTTGAACTTTAGATCACTTTCTTCCCATTGCCAGACATTATCTGATAATGATCCATTCCGACAATTCAACATTGGTAGCTTATATCAATCACCCAGGTGGTACACGGTCAAGATCCCTCTGTTTTCATACATTGGCTCAATCCATTCGTTCTTCCACATTGGAAGTGTATTAGCGAAAGTGAAAGGTCTTTCATGCATGGGCCCAGGCTTGGGGATTTCTTGCTGCTCGTCCTACTCTTGCTGGTTTCTCCGAGTTTCTCACGTGGCTTTTCAACCTGGGGTATTCCTTGATTTCAGGAATATCGGGAAGTTTTATCCCATTACCATGTTAATCTGTTCCTTCCGGATTCATCGACCTCCTTGGCATCCTGCTCTTCCGGGTTGAGTTATTTATGTAGTCATCCATTCCCTTACTTTAACTCCATTCAAACCTATTTCGTCATGTTCTTTGTTTCACCTACCCCTTCCGATGTATTTCTTTCTCCTTTTGGCCTGTGGGCGTCAGTGGTCTGACTTATTCATCATCAGAGTTACACGCACAGTTTACTTCAATACCTATCTTCTCCTTTATCGGAATCATTCCTTCCTTCCCAATACCTTGGTGGCTTTTGAGGGTAACTCCTCTTTTTTGCCTATTTCCCTTCTATTTTTCATCTCTACCCATGTCCCAATATGATAGACTTCTATCTCTTGTTTGTGCCCTTCATTGTTATATTGCCCACACAGCTTCCTTCCATGATTCCTGTTCCCTGACTATTCCTTGGCAACCCTCTTTGTCCAGAGATCTCTCCCCTTTTACCCTCACCAGTTGGGTTCGTGGTTTGATCCACATGGATTATTCCTCCTTTTCCCCTTCCCACCATACTTTTTTCTGTGTTACCCGACACCTCACCTTTTCCCTCATTTCTCAACTTCGTTGGCCTTTGGAGGAAATCCTACATGTGGACCAACCCTAACATGCTCATCTCCCATTCTTTACATCATACCACGGTTTCGGCTTCCTCAGGTTTTTGCCTTCCACCTGTGGTTGTACTTCAGACTTCGGTGTGACACTGACACTGGGTAAATCTTTATTAACACTTTTTTTTTCTTTCAGGAACCCATTCTTTATACCCTCATTACATGGATCCCACACTGTGGCAAGTGATGCTTGACCAGGTATTCTTTAACTCTAAATTTGCACTGTATGCCATGTTGACTAGTGCTTTCCTTTCCATGACTTTGCATGCTCACTTGTAGGTCAATAATCTTGTGATATTTGCTTCATAACTTCACCTTTCCTGGACTATACCACCCACAGACTTCATGGATAAAGCAGAAGGGGATAGCTGCCCATCTCTGCCATGCCTCAATTGAATAAATTGGTATGGTCTGCTTTTCAAAATAGGGTTTCATGATCACCCATTGCTCTGTCTCAGGTGCCGATGTGCCTCCGGACTCTCCAATGCATTGTCAGTCCGTCTTTTTTATGGGAGTTCTTACCACTTACCAGCCAGTTTCAAGCTGCTAGGGTGGTCGACCATGTATGCACCCTATAACCATTCAGTTCAGAGTAGGGCAGTGGTGTTCTGCTGGTGTAGATGATGTAATATCCTCTGATTTGTGATTAAACATACAACAGAGTGAGACGTCAAAATGCAGTTCACTTCTTCGATTAGGAGCCCTCATGTAGAGGGTTAGTATCCCGCAGATTAGTTTTGGATTTCGAGTGAACCAATCAACATAACTCTTCTCACAGGTTTCGGGTTGTCTATCTTCTTACCTCAATTTCCTCCTTCTGTGTTGTGGGATTGTTCTGGTTCTATCCTTGGCTCTCCCTTTTTCTCTCTTTGTAACATTGATGTTATTTCCCTTTGAATGGTCCCATGCAATCAACTTCCTTTTGATATCGGATGTCAAATTCATGGATCTATAGCTTAGAGCTAATCCTGTGTAATACCCAGGAATCGGAGTGGTTCTCAGTTCCCTAGTTTTGGGGTTTCAGGTGAAGGCGGTATGATCTTCATGTCTGATTGGTTGTCGGTAACTCGCAAGGAAGTTTTGGATGTAGTTGACTTGCCGAGTACAGTCTGCGCCACAGCCACTCTACATCATGGGATGCATCCTCATTTACCCGCTTTTCTTATTGTGGGATTGACTTACTGTATCTTTCTCTAGTTAGGATCACTTTCCTACTGCATTTTCTCCCACTCGAGTGTGCTCGTCTCATTTTCCACCCTGATTTCTTACACATTCCGCGTATGGGTGAAGAATATACCTGGATCAGAAGTGGTACAGTTCCCCTCTTTGGATCTGACTCTCTCATCTACAGAGGTATCCTTCAGTTGCTTTCGGGGGGTATGTCTGTTCTTCCCTCACACTGGTCTCTCCTCCTAATCAATGTGGGATTCTAGCTAATGTTGTGAGAAGAGGGAAGTTCCGTATCAAAAGTTACAATTTTCCTGTACTGAAAATGTGTTAGTGATAGATACTTCCATCTGAACACACTTCTCACCTTTCTTCCCCACTCCCCGTGGTTTTGTCATCTGCCAAACTTCAAAGTGATATTGCAGTAGAGGCTCATAGAGGTAGTCACATGCATCATGTGAGTCTACTATTCTCCTATTGGTGGAGCAGTGACACATGATGATTTGCATGAGAGACACATTGGAATCATTTGATTCTAATAGGGGGTGCGGAAGGCATGCATAATATTGAGAACATTTTCAGTATAGGAAAATTATAACTTTCCACACATGGTTTTCTCAACCTCTTGAAGATGGGAATTGACCAAGTTTATTTCTGTTCTCCCAAATATCTGAGAGAAACAATTTTTTTAGACCCAAATACACTTTGGTTAGTCAGCCTGATAAATTACAGTGATAAATTTATAGAGTAATTTATAATTTTTTGTTATTTCAAAATGCATATAAACCCTAAAAAAGTTATTTTGTTTTACATCCTCCATGTGCAAAATTTGGCAAGGCTTAGCATGCCAGATATGGCAAGCCAGTACAAACTTCTTTGTAATTGTAAGTAAAATATATCATTGTTTTCTATATTTATTTATTTACTTTTCTATGTTTTAAGAAAAATAAGTGAAATTTAAGAACTTATTTGTAAATAGATATGTAATGTATTATAACTGAAATGTGACTGTATTTTGCAAAATACTGATCCACTAGAACAAAGCCAAGACAGGTCACTTTGTAAAGGCCAGTTTTATACTGTTGTTTATGATAACCTGAGTGCATGTGCACCACATCATTGCAACATCTGTAATGTTAGACAGACAGAGCTGAAAGACCAATAAAATAAAAGTAAAAAATATATATAAATATATAATATTATGAGATTTAAGCTATTTAAACTAAACATTTGTGGTTTCATCTTATAATTTGTAGTCATTGTAGAACGAAAAAGGCTTAATGGTAATTAAGAGGTTGGTCAAATCGGCGAAACCCATACTGAGATACAATTGCAAAAATATATAAAAAAATTTCTGAAAAAACATTTGATAATTATCTGAAGATTATAAAATTCTACATGTGAAATTTGACAATTTACTGATGCAGAAAATAATTTTAATCTTAACATCAAAATTTATTTTCATGTTGGATAATCAACATTTGAAAAGAAGAAATGCATGAGCACATTATTACTTAAAAATCTTAAAACTTAATTTTAAAAAATCTGATATGTACGAAAGCCTTATAATGTTTACTAATAATCTTCAACATTTATTGAAGATATACACACTGTATTAAGCACAAAATGATTACAAGGTTAGTCCCTGGGACTGAGCCCGTGGTGGCAAAGTTAATGTAACGTTTAAATATATATTACCTTTTGTGTGGAAATATCCTGAACATATAGCAAGTATGTCTTTGTACTATCCAGATAATTTGGTACATTATGACATCTTTAATCTATTACATTTCATATTACAAGTTCTATCAATAATGTTAGGATTAAATCCTCCCTCAGAGACAAAACACTTTAAAAGAATTCAACTCCAACATCAAACCTCTGTGATAGGTCCCCATATTTAAACTCCTAAAAATTAGTTTTTTCTGTACTGATATTCCTGAATTTTGATTCAGTAGTTCCACTATAAAGTGAACCCTGTTGATATGGAGAGGATTAAATTAGACATTTAAGTTTAAGGGTTTACTGTTTTAAAATTAAAAATATTGGTGATTTTTGCATGAGAATAATAATTTCCATATCAATTAAAGCATTTCTACTGCCATGCATAATTTTGTTGGTATAAAATCTTTGGATGCTTAACATCTTTGCTTTTTCTTTACTTGTCATATTGAATATGAAGGAAAATGCATAAAATAATACTTTTTTGTAGATTTTATTGTAAGTATTGTTAAAAAAAACAGCTTTTCTGTATCTTAATGAAACCATTGAAAGTTATATAAAAGGTGGTAGTTTTAGAATTTGATACTTAAGAAAATATGCAGCTTTTTTTTTAATACCCCTGTCTTTTACATGCAGTTTGTTTTTATAAATGAGCTTTTTTCTGGAGTTGCAAGGATTGAAATTTAGATTATTACCTAATACATAGGGTAAACCTGTTAGTAACCCATCTAAACTGCTGGTGGATAGAGCTTTGACCCGATGGTATAGCTTGAAAATGCGTGCTGATAATACAAGTGTAATCACAGTTATGTTGGACCCCCCAGGCCCTCCTAAGAGTGAAGTGCTACTTCGTCAACGCATGATGCAGAGGTTAAGACCTCGTGAAGAACAAACAGAAATTATTCCAGATAGTACTAGTAAGTTTTTAACTAGATCGGGTTTTAAGTTAATTGTATTTCTAAGATATTTCAGAAGCCCAAAATTCTTTACAATATTTTGTTAGAAGCAAATACAAAATTTAAGTTTTACCTATTTCTCATATATTTGTTGCCTAGCACTACTTAGTCAGATTTAATGCTCAGGTAGGTGCAGTTTGGAAACATAATATATTATTACTTTATAGATGCGGATATTATGCCGTTCTTAGATAAAGATATTCCAGTATGGTATTACAATTAAACTTACCAGTGACATTTACAGTAAAATTGAAATCTGTATGAAATAACTTGTGTGTGTGTGTGTTGTGCATTCGGCACCAAAAATGTCATAAGTAATTTTAGTAAGATAATCTTGTAGTTATTTTAACCTTACTGAAAAAAATCTTTTCACTGGTATGTCAATGGATCAAGTAAAGACTATGACTTCCTTTCTGTAGAACATTTTCTTTTAAGTAAATGTTATTTCATAGTTGATACTACATTAAATAATCATCAGTTATCACCAAAAAAATTGATTTTCTTTACGTAATTGTAATAATACTCATTTCATAAAAATTATGGTTAAGACAAATATAAACTTTTTTTTTATTAACATAGTGCTTAAAATGTTCTGAAACATTTGTGCTTTTGATCGTGTTAATAGATACGAAGATGTAGTTAATGATATGAATTATGCATTACTCCTTAAGTGATGCATTAGTGACATTTTCAAAAAAGTACCATCATCATTTGTTTGAGTATAATATTTACCATATATCAAATGATTTTGGTTTAGCTTCGTTCTTTCCTCAGAGGTATAATTTTTCCTTCTTGCATTCCCCTGCAATCCATTCAACAGTTTTCTGTGTAAAAATGTGATATTAAATAGAAAACATGCAGTGGGAATACACACAACTTACCAGTCTTAACCTCCATTCACTAGTCTCATATGTTACAGAAAGAAGAATAAACATAAGTAAGAAGCATCTTGCTTTCCTAACTTATTTCTCTTTTTCTTACTTATTTTATGTTTATTCTTTTTTTTTAACATGTGAGAATAGCAAATAGAGGTTAAGACTGGTAAGTGGTGTATACCCACCACAACATGGGTCCTACTTCTGCACTCATCTCCAAAACCCAGGGCTCATCTTATATCCCATATTATAATCTGTGCCTTGGTGATCTTTTTAATATAAGCAGCATTTTAGTTGTAGTTGTTAAGACTTGTTTTGATAATTAAAATGTTTTTAACAGGTGTGTGTGTGTGTGTATTTACCTATTCAAAGTGTAACTGATAAAAATATTTAGCTGTAAAGTCTAATCCAATTCAATAAACCGATTATGTGTGTTTTTAATCAACTGGTAAATGTATCATATCTACTATGCCCTGTACTTCAGTGTAAAAGCATTTCTCACATAGTCCTGAGTATGTCCACATATTTTTAGTTTGTAAGTAGAGAGTAATAAAAACTTACTTTAGGGCTTGCTTTTGAACAATGTCCCATTTTAAATGTTTTAATTTTATGGTGGGTATATGTGAAAGTTTTCTAGCAGTTACTTCTTTAGAACATCTTTCTCGCTCTTATATAAAATGTTTGTGCTAGTTGGACAAGCAAAAGTTCTGAAGAAATATTAAACTTTAGCTAATTTAATTACCTATATGACCTCAGTTTAATATCATTTGTCACTAATGGTACTGCTATTGAGTAAAAAATTAGTGTATACCTGTATATTGTAACAATTAATCTTGCATTAAGGCTTTACACTGAACTACGAAAGTGACAATCAGTAGAGTTCTTCAGTTGTCAGAAAAACGTTTGGATACCACTTTGGAGTCCTTTTTTTTTTACCTTGTTGATTTATTTGATATTGTAATCTATATTTTTGACATACATTAAGTGGCTTAGTTCAGTACAGTTATATTGTTACACATTGATATTTGTATTTTTTTATTCTATATGCAAAAATTTTTGTAATTTCAAAATTAAACTTATTTCAGCTCCTACAGAAAATGAGGCAGTTGACATAAAGGTCAAGAAACCTTCAGAGTCAAGTTCATTCAAAGAGTTTGAAAGTTCAGATTCTGCTCAAGAATACAAATTACCATGTCTCCCAAGACCTGTTGTCCTTTCACCCAAGAAGGTTGTTGTTGTGAAGCGTACAGAATCTGATGCTACAGAAAATGATACTGATTCGTATATAAAGCCAAATGCTGGGTGGCCATCTCATTCTTTTGGTAGGACAAGCCCCAATCATGATTGCTGTAAGATTGGTTGTTCTTGTCATTTACTCAATTCTGTTGCAAAGCATGTCAACCCATCAGCGAATGAAGCTCGTCCTCCTGGCAGCTCTTTAAGCAACATATTGAAAATTGTGGATAAAAAAATTAAAACCTTTTCTAGTAAAGAGGAAAACTTCAAGAATCTCCCAGAGTATATGTATGAGAAATCATGCAAATCTTTACCAGAAAAGCCATCTAACTCTTCTGACACAGTAGAAAACAGCATAACTGTATGTAATTTTCACGCAGAAAAAAAAATTGACACAAGTCCTAACACAGACAGTGCAGTTAAATTGTTGATGGACACACATCGAAAGCCTGTTGAACAACAAGAAAGCCACGTAGATACTGCACATTGTAGACCAGTTTTCACACCCATTCTTAGTATGAAAAGGAAGATGTCTGCTGAAGAAAGCTCTAGTTTTATACCTTTGAAACACCTCAGAGCAAATACATGGACAGGACAGCCTCTTTCTAGCTGTAAGATGATAAACAGAAATGTATACCTGCATTCCACAAGAACACGTTTGCGCATTCGCAAAGTAAAGGTATGAAGAGTCAATAACAGGGAAGTTCCCATCTCTTGTACCTAGTTGCCTTGTATTACTACATATAGATGAATATTTCATTGTTATTTTAATTTTCGTATACAAACAGTGCATCAAAGATGGTTTATTTTTGAAAAACATACCAAATTTTTCTTAAACAGAATTATTGATTGCAGTGAATTATAAATATTTCAATATCAGCCTGCAAAACAAAATATTTAAAGAATTTTCTTTCTCTGAATTACTTTTGACACATGGTATTTTGTAAATAGAATGGTTTTAGTCAGAATGTAAAAAAGTGCAAGACGTTGAAAATATTTTAAGGAGAACTGTGTCTTTGTGATTGACTATTTATTTAAAATTTTTATTGATTCAGTTGGAAAATTACTTGAGACAAAATTCAGCTCAGTCATGTAGGCTGTTTTATAGATTTTGTATTTTTACAGTTAGTACACATTAAGGATGATGTCAGGTTCAAGAAGTCTTAATATAAAATGATAAAAACCATATAACTCAGGTTGAATGGTTTCTATCATTTTATGTTAAGACATGTATATACAGTCGAACCCCGACTTACTCAGGGAATATGTTCCTGAAAAACTCCCTGTAAGTTGAAACCGTGTAACTCGAGGCATTAAGTCCATGAAGAATTTCATCAAATAACTCCACATTATGATCTTCAGTGTCAGTTCTAGTAACAATGCTTGAGCTGGAAGTACTTGGCTGTTGATTGTCCTCCCCATGGTTGACATTTCTATCTTTTCCTTTACTTTATATTTAGCTTGTGATGAGTGCTAACATTTTTTCTGTAACTTCAAAACTTTGGCAACAAATTCCATTATTGTACATGTCTGTTCTCACACACAAAATTGGCTCAGTAGAACTTGGTCTAAGCTGGTTTCTTGCCTTTGTCTTAACATTTGTTAGATGTGAAAAAACTTGTTCAGCAAATACAATATTAAGAGGAATACAGTAGGAGTTCAAAGCAATGGTTGCTAACTCTTTATAACATTTTTCTCCAACTGCATTTTCATAATTCAACACAAAAGCTCAAAACTCAACTGGATTTGATGGAATTTGTGAGCCAGGAAATTACTATCGCCAATTAGTTTTCATAGAGATACATTCATATTGATTAGCCACTTTCATTATATCAAGTTTTTCTTCTTTAGCTAACTGTTCATGGGGAAGATCTCTGAATTGTGGCTTAATTTGGCTAAAGGAAACACTAGGATTAAAATATTTCATATATTCCATTTTCATTGTTGTCTTATCAATCTGGTTTATTGCCTCGAGTAAAAAGTCATGGCAGCATTGCTGAATGACTAGTTTTATATCACTGCTTATTTTGTTACATTTCAAGTGATGTTCAAATTTATCTCTAAGTTTACCATCACTTAATGACCAGAGCAATTTTCTCTGATGAAAATCTTTGTACACTTTGTGGAGTAAAAAGTTTCTTAGTTCTTCGAGATCCTGAAATACCTTGCTGAGATCAGGATTTGATGCCTGGTATGCAGCATTGAGTGATTCAAAATTTTAAATCATTGGACAAACAAAGGTAAGATAAAGTTTATTAACTTCATCAAGGAGCATTTTCGAAAGGCATGCATCATAGTTTCTCTCACGAATTGAGCAGAAGTAGGCTTTAAGTTCTTCCCATTGTTCTAAGTTTATTCACGTGCATTTTCCACGCACAAGCCATTGAGTTTTACTTGGTGTAACAAACTTGTCAAAGTGTTCATTTCCATTGTTCATTGTTTGTATTCCTCTCGATGCAAAGAACTTAAACTGAACCATTGAGAAACTTCAGAAATCAGGTAATTTAAGTTGGAAGACAAAACTTTAAATGCTTTTTCACAGTACAATGCTAAACTGTGACAATTACATTTCACAAATTTAATGTTAGGATTCACATCCCTAAAAAACCTTGAAAAAACTAAACTAAAATCGTCACTGACATTGTTTGCACCATCAGTACCTAAACCAATGCAACTTATATCAATATTATTCAAACTTAAAAAAGTCTCTAATAACACTGAATAGACTTTATCCTGTTGTAGATATGACAGGAATCATACCTAGGAAAGAAGTTTGTACTTTTTGCAGTTTCTTAGAAAAGTATCTTACACACAAATACAAAAGCTTTTTAACACTCACATTTTAAGATTCAGCAATTAACACTGAATATATTTTGTCTTTTACATCATTTATTAGCTCTTCAAATAATGACAATGAAACATTTCTTATTAGGCACATACACTTTGAATAATGCAGTTGAACATTTTCAAGAATGCTTCCTTTACAGTAACATGCTATTTATTCTGTTTGGTGATTTATTGATAGAACACTACAGTGACAAGCTGTTGAAACACTATACTTTATTTCAAATTCTTTGAGTTCCCTTCTTGGGTTAACAGTGCTTCTCTTGTAAGTGTCGGTTAGTTTTCCTGTATTGGTAAATGCATTAACATTCTTTCTGTGCTTTACTGTTTTCTCATGCTCTTCAATTTCCATATATTGGACAGAATGCACTTACATCATTTACGAAAACAAGCATTGTTATTCCGAGAAAGCCACTCAAATTGCTGTTACTATTCCTTATTGTAATTTTTAATTGCATTAAAAGTATTTTCCACTTACCCATCTTGTTGAAAGGTAGCTTTTTCAGATCACTAAAAACTGTTACTAAATAATATTTAGCATGTGAATATTACAAACTACGATGACACCAATGAAGGTACTGCACTCGTGAGGCAGAGGCGGCTAGTCTCGACCAATCATAAGATGAGACCTTTGTAGTAACATGTTTGTATGTGATATAAACTTGAATGAGCTGCAACATAATGTTTAAAACACATTCAAGCCCATAACTTTTCTTAATTCAAAGGAGCCTAAAAAGGACAATTCTAGACTGTTCTTTTTATTTCAAAAATTATTGGACAAGTGAGTCTCAAATGGGACAGGCTTTGCAACCCAACATTGGTCACATTATATAAAGCACATACACTGGAATCAGTATAACTCGAACCCGTGTAACTGGGGTCCAACTGTATTAATGTACTATGTACATCATGTAGGGTTTTTGTTTGTTTTTTCTCACTTACAACAAATTTCTATTACTATAGTTATTTTAGTAAAATCTAAGACACAAATTTTGTTAAGGTAATTTCTTTTTAATTAGTTATAATTTATCAGTCTGCATTTTAGTTCCATACAATCAACAAGACTGTTGTAAATATATATATATGGAGAATTGTGTATTATCTTTAAATCTTGGGAGCAATAAAATACTTCATCAGAAGCTGCAGTATTCAAGGTATTTTAGTTTCGCCTACAGAAACTTCAAACTTTATTATCCAGATGTGGAAATTTTTTTTACCTTGAATATTTAAGAATATAGAATATGAAAATATACCAGCTTATTATTTGGGGTTAACTTAAGACATTTGAAAGGACAGATTCTTTTTTTTTCATTTTGTTCAATAAAATTGAGTCAAGTATATGAAACACATCTCAAATAATTTTTCACGTTAAAACTATTTGATTTCCAAGTATTAAAAAAACATTTAACACTCTTATCCTCTCTTTCATATACTCAAATCTACAGTAGTTTAAATAAGGAAATTATAAAATTATTAATAAATTAATGCCCTATTATCAATTCAGTCTGTAAACTAGAAGATTTTTTTTTTTTAAGTTATCAAAGTATTTTCATTATTTTGATGTTCTTAGCAGATATTTCAATAAAATACTTATGTTACCCTACAACCTAATGTTTATCTAACCCAGTATTGAAAGTCATATTGAAGCTCAAATCTTTTTTTTTTCTTTTTTGCATATTAAATGAAATAGAAACATTTGTGGTGGTTCTTGTTACAATATTTAAAAAAACCAGGTAAGTATATTTTGTTGCAGTATTTTAGAAGTGTCTTCTTTTATTTTATGATTCATTCAATATAAAGTAATTACAATAAATATGCAGTTCAGTTTACAGTGACTTTGATGTTATGTATGTTTTCATAATTTAAATTGCATCGTATATTGACCATAAAAAGAGCTTGTGGTTAATTTGAAATCCTGCTTACATTTGAGACAATAACCCTCAAATTACAGATTTGTTTATGTACCATTAATTACTGGCGAGATCCACATATTGCACCATACTGAGTAAGTTTATGATGTAATAATAGTTTTTGTGTAAAATGTAGTATTTTCAGTTAAACTGAGGAAATTAAGTAAGTCAACTATATAATGAGAGCTTGGGCAAGATTTATTGCAAAATAATACAGAGTTTCTGCTTTGAAAAAAAAAACTACAGGAAAATAAGAAGGTAAAAAATTTTTGATGTGCCTGCATACCACACTTTTTATCCCCCATTTGTTTCAGGCTTTCTTTAAGCCAACATTAATCCTTAAACTTTAAAACCAATCAGATATATGGATTCATGATCAATAAGTACTCTAACATTCTCTTATTCCTATAAATCACTTAACACACACAACTGAAGTATGTAACAAAGAAATATTACACTAGAAAATTCATTAATAGAGATACAGCTCAGTAGTTAATTAATTAAATACAATTTCACATTATGGAACATGATACCCTTTAACACAGATTCAAAGATAATTGTATGTGAAAAACAAATTCATTAATCATACATCCATAAAGTTACACTTTTTATAAAAAAACAAATTATATAAAATAATTGTACTCAATATGACAAAATTATAAAGACCAAATGAACCCTCACAAAAAGAGAAGATAGTATTTATAACACAGGCTTGTTAAAAATATATCACATTGAATCATAGCAAAACATATTAAAAGAACCTTTAACAGTGAAACATGGGTCCATCAAAAAAGTTCTAACATAATAATATTTTGCAATTACTATTCAGCATAATATGAAATAAATATAAAAAACCATGGAATAAGATAAACTCATCATACAAGAATCACTGTTTTTCAAAACACTAAAATTCCTACAACTTTCAATGATATAACCCATTAAGGTACATAAAAGAAATAACAATGCAATGCTTCATAAAACATAACAGAATGCATTTGAACACAAAGTTGAAATGTTCCTTAAATACAAATCAAAACCCTTCAAAAGTGTTAGCTACACAGTTATTATGATTATTCTTATGTGCTTAATCGAAAGAAAACACCTTGAAATCAATCCATACAAAAAGAAATAAAGGAAATTTATCTATACTCGCAAACGAAAAGCATTGGAGCTTCCACTAAATTAAGTCTGTTCACATCACTTGATCCATTCAAAATGCATCTCAGTTTTAGTGAAAACCAACAATTGTTCGGCTATTTAGAGAATTTGGTCATAAGCTGTCAATGACATGATGTAAAATGTGGACTTCTCACTGGTCGTAGATTGAAGACAGTCTCTTACCACTCGTATTTCAGCAGGGTGTGTATAGATTCCATCTCTACCTACAGTATGTCTGAGAAATTCCACTTTTTTTCAGTTTAAAGCACACTTTCTTTATCCACTGGAATACCATTCTCATATTTTCACTGCAGACTTGAACATGGGACCAAACACCTAAACATTGTTGAAATAAATCCGGCATCATCCCCATTGGTGTAAGCTCCATCAGCTTCTCAGAATTACTAGAATCCGTACACACACTTAATGATGATGTGAAACTCGTAAAAACCATTTCTCATCTTGAAAAAGTCTTGGAACTGCTTTCATCATCAAGCTTCACTTCCTAGTATCTGGATAAAAGATCTAGAGTATTGAACTAATGGGAACCTTCCAATACATCCAGACAATCATCTGTTCATGGCAAGAAAAAGGTGCCAACACAAGTTACCATGTTCACCTATCTAAAATACAGAACTTTGCTGTACCTTCGTTCTTTCTGACAATCACTAGTGGAGATGACCAAATTCTGAAAATTATATGATACAATCATTCACCATCCACTGTATGTCAACAATGGCTAAGTTTTAGTGCTCCAAAGAAGTCAGCATGATGGTTGTTTAATTGGATGTTCATCATCTGTACACAGCGTGATCACAAGTAAATAGACACCACCTTTTCATAAAAAATTAAATTTTTCAGTCATATTGACATGAATTAATATATTTATAATTTAATTAATATCTAGTATATCTTCCTTTCGCTTCGTGGAGTTCGTTGATTCTATGGGGCACCGTGAGAATCATCTCGTCAATTTTAGATTGTGGGATTTTCGCCCACTCTTGCCTCAAAACTTGGAGTAGATCGCTCTTCGAAGTTGGTTTTTTTGTTGTTGTTGTTGTTTCTTGACTTGCCGGTCGAGTATGGCTCAGAGGTTTTCGATGGGGTTCATGTCAGGAGATTGGCTAGGCCAGGGCAACTCCTGGATACCATTTTCTTCCTGCCACTTTTGGGTGTTTCTAGCAATGTGACACGGTGCTCCATCTTCCTGGAACAATGTTGTGTTCTTGTCCACGAAACCCGAGG